CAACACAGATGAATATCAAATCTGATATCCACAAAAGGGCTGGGGAACACTCAGGGAGGAGCAGGACCAGAAGGGCAAGGTCCACCTGGGAGCAGGACCCTGTGGGAGCCTTGGAAACCTCAGGGTGGGACATCCACAGCCAAAGCAAATGGCTTATCACCAGACCAATCCAAAGAGGCCACAGCTGGCAAGCACTACTTGGGGTCTTGATGTCCTATTCAGCATTGGCAGGTACTTGTGTCCTCTTGGAGGGGAGAAGTCCAAATTGTTGCTTTCAGAACTTGTGCTCACTGTGAGGTTGTGAGCAGTGAGGGACAGAGGGAGCAGAAGCCTTTCTGTCATATATGACAAATATCAGCATCTTTTCTCTCTGGTGCACCATCACCATCCTTGAGAAGAGATCAACCAATTTGGGCAGGGACGTGCTCACTGTGAGGTTGTGAGCAGTGAGGGACAGAGGGAGCAGAAGCCTTTCTGTCATATATGACAAATATCACCATCCTTGAGAAGAGATCAACCAATTTGGGCAGGGACCCCCCACATCCAGGCACCTCTCACAGGTCCTATTTACTTACCACACCTTAAGCAGTCACTGAATTAGTCATCCTGGTCCCAAATCTCTCTGAACTCTCAAATCTCTCAGGTGCTGAAGAAAGAGCAGCTCTGTAGTGTTGCTTACTACAACTGCCAGGTGCCACCACGTCTGTGTCAGACCCTGGGCCAGAGGGTTTCAAGGTCTCCTGCTGTGCCAGACCTCCTGGGGACCTCTGAGCAGGGGTACCTACTCTTTGGACCACCACTGAACTAAGCAATGAGTCAGACATCAAATCACTGAAAATAATTGATGCTGCTGCATCTCTGGGTGTGCAAAACAGCCAACGTTAAAATACAGTGTCAAAACAAAGTGTAGGCACCTCCCAGGAGAGGTGGCAGGGCTGCAGCTGTGAGAGGAGGGGAAGCCAAGCACTCGATCATGGTGCACTGGGTCTGGTCCAGTTCTGTGCTACTTCTTCCGTGCTGCTAGGATCGGATTTTCACTTTGTATTTGACCAAATGCAGATACTGAAAAATTGAGAGAAATCAGAAAACCACCACAGAAAACAATTTGAGGGCGTAAAGAAAGATCCGATGCTGAGAGACTTAAAAGTTCCTTCTCTTTGGCTTAGCAAAAAGCCCAAGTCATCATACTATATTTCACTAGAGGGACTCACTGAATGCTTTAAATCACTGGCAAAAGACAAACAGTGCAAGTTAAATCCAAACAAGTTAAAATAGACATAAGGCAGAGTTCAAAAGCAAACAATGACTCATTGGTAGTAAAAATTACTAATGGCATTGGTGGTTCCTCTACTTTGACTAGTAGGAGAGGATGGGTTGCCTTCTTCTATAGATGGGCCAAGGGGTTCACACAGAAGTGCTCAGAGGAGGTTGCCTGACTTGAACTGTAAAAGAGGCCAGGCCAGATGACATAAAGCTGCCTTCTTATATCAGCAAACTCCGTTATTCACACTTCTGAATCAAATCCTGCAGCACATGCACACACCCAGAATCCAGTCAGTATAGTCAGGACATGCAGTTAGTTAACTGTTAAACATTGTCTGGAAAAAAATAAACACATGCGTAACTGCGATGCTTAGTAAATCATATTCCTCAGCTCTTTTCCCTTATAAAACACAGAACAGCAGCTCTTGGAAAACTGAATAGAAGCTCAAGTAGTTTGTTGTATTCTCTTGCTGTACAGTGTGTTACCAGCAGTGACCTTCACTGACAGGTAAGAACTGCCTAATTAGCAGGCTCTGTGCAGTGCAAGCTTGCTTTCTTACTCTTGGCTGAGGGCATTGGAGAGCATCAGACAGCATAAAGCTCAGGGCTTGATACACTTGCTATTGAAACTCAGGAAAAACTTTTAACTTTTTTTTCAAATGAAGAGAAAACTACTGATCTTGTGTTCATGCTGCTCTGGATTTACGCCCACAAGCTATCAAATGGAAGACAAATGACAGTGCTGTTATTTCAACCAGTTTAATGATTCTGGCAAAAGATCTGGCAGCGGACTCCAAAGATTTCATCTAGGCAAGGCAATGCCTATTCCAAGAATGGAAATCTCCAACTAGAGAGCTGGCAAGTGCATGTTTGTGCTGGAGGCTTAAATCAATCATTTCTATTTTTCCCAATGTGATTTAGCAAAGTACAAAAATTGGCTACTTCATCAATGGCCACAGGCCACTTTTCATGTTTAAGGTATTAGTGCCACGGACTACAGTGAAATATCGACTTCATGTAAAGCAGTCAGTGTTAGAGCCACCTGTTTAATCATTCCTTTACAGTAGCTCTCCTTTAAATATTGTCAACAAATTCTTTGTTGACACTGTCAACAAGGAGTCCAGGAGACCACTGTAGTGTGGACCCCTCTGCATTCATGCAAAACTCTTCAACCACCATGATTTCTCAGTCTGCCGCTGAACACCGTCCTCCTCATGGTTACCTTGTGAACTGAACTGACACAAATTCTCCTGGCACCGGTGACCGAGTCCATGAGCAATCAAAATGCTGCTGCAGATTTGTACTATGAAATGCACCTTGAAAGGCCTGGACAAGCCTTAGAGCAAAACTAGGATTTAGATTAAATAAGAAGCCTACTCAGCAGCCACCTAATTATTTAGATCTTGAAGTTCCTGAGGTGTTAATAATTCTGCTTCTGTGGATACCCAAAACTGCCCTTGCTTACTTTGGTGGGAATCAGAAAATAAAGGCAATGTAATCTAAGACTGTAAGTTTATACAACTTCCTTGTAAGGCAATACTCTATAAACACTTCCCAGGTCATGGGAACATTCTGGCAGTACTGTACCTTCTTATCAGAGTAATCCTATGGTGTATATCCACCCCACAGTCTAATTTCCCTAAAGGGAGGACCCAGCAAGAGCTCTGCATGGAAGACAGTACATGCCCAAGAGACATTGACATCCTCAAGGCATGCTTCAAGAATATGTTTATGTGCCTAAGGGTTCAGATCAGCTACATATGCTCTGAACAGATGTAACACATGGCAAGAGGACCAGGATCCTTTCTAAATGGTCATGAGTGCTTAATATGTAGCGACGTATTTGCCAATGCTGCCTCCTTTTAGGTTGCAACTAAATGGTTACTGCAGCCAAGTGCCTGGAAGTTGTCTCCATGCATCTCTCATCTTCAAAAGGTTAAAACATCTCCCATCCACCAAGAGAGATGCTTTTCTAGGCAGAGAATAGTCATCCTTCACTCTCAAATCAGTAGGAAAAAAAAAAAGGCAAGCTAAAACCACATACAATATATGGAATATAATTATGGTAGTTAGCCTTTGTCTCCTTTGGGCTGATTGTTAACACAGTCCAGCTGATTTCTGCAGAAGGAATGAACAATAAATTCCAACAAGAAAAATGCCAAGTCTTAGAGGACGGTAACAAAAGGGCAAACTCAAAGACAGCTCAGCCTAATCATCTGCACCCCAGTGTTATCAGAGGCAACACTTTTCTCTGCAAGCAACCAACGATCCTGCATAAAGTGGGCTGGAAGGAGAGATCACAAGAGTGAGACCATTTTGAGTTCAGAAGACTTTTCAGTCCATCCTTCCAGCACTGTTTATACACCTTATAGCAAACAGTCATTGGAAATAAAAAAATTAGTCCTCAGAATCATTCATAGTCCGACATATGTCTGGGCTTCTAGTTGACCCTGAGACACTGCTGGTGTCACGAGCTGCCTATCTCAGCCCCCTCTGGGGCCACATATCGCTCACTATACAGAAGCCAGTTCTCTGGCTCACGGTTTTGCTTCAGGAGTCAGACACTTAAAAGTTCTTCAAGAAGCTCATAACTGTATTTGGGTTATGGTGATACATGAAGAGTGATCTTAGCAGAATGCTTGCTGTATAGAGAATCTCCTCAGGAGAGAAATAATGTAATAGTTCCCCCTGAAGAAGAGAGGTCTCACTCCTTCTCCTCCTTTTCACATCCTTCCCACCATACTCTCCAGTCAGTTGCCTCAGCTCAGAGAGCTATCCCAGCAAGAAGGATACAGATTGTGTATGCAGAATGGGTTAGCTGAACTGGCTCACAGGAAGCCACAGGACCTCACATCCAGGAAAAAGAGGATGAGTCTTTCAGCAACATTGAACCATTCAAGCAGCTTGCCAAGTGCATGAAACCATAGCTTCAAAGCACATAAACTCAAGCCCTTATAATGTCCAGCCTCTTTACTTTGGTTTTAGGTAACCAGTGCCCTTACATGAAAAGCATGATGCTGCCAAAAGTTGGGTTGTAGGGAGGAGCAGGCAATCAGCCTGCCAGGAGAACACCAGGCCCCTACCATCGGCAGATAGACAAATCTAGTCCAAAGGTCACTTATTTTTTGCCAGCTGAAAACATTGGGTAAATGCATCTGGATATTTTACAGCAAAAATTAAACAGCCTCGCTCTACTCCAGAGCTCCCATTTCCAGGCCCATGGCCAGTTAATACTTCATCTCTTGCTGCAGCGTGACCAGCAGTGGAACAAGCATTAAACGAGTCCTCCTGGTTCTGGTCTGTCAAAAATCCCAAGCTGGAGCCTGGAGGACCACATGGGATGTTGCCTGCCCACCATGCCTTCCCTTGGTTTGATTTCTGCATATCCCATGGAGGATCTGTTCAGGAAAATTCAGTCTGCAGGTGCAAGTTTTGCAGCTTATTATCTAGCTCACATTTTTGATATCAGGAAAAACCTTACACGAAAATAACTCATTATTAAAGAGAAGGGCTTCAGAGATGGTTTAGTATTCCAGCACAAAGGCTTTTGCTTTGTCTGTGGTGTTTGCTACCTAAGTATGGCAAGCAGAATCTGAAAACAGCATTGATTAGAAATTGATTCTTGAAATAAGTCATGTCCCTTTCTTGGCAGAGCAGTAATGAATTCTCATCACTGAGTTTTTCTGATCTTGTAATATATTAATTAGTTGAAACGTACTTGAGTTTCAAAGACTGTGTCAAATCACAACTTTTAATTGCATATAATTCTCACCAGTGTTTTGCTCCATAAATTACTTTCAAATATGTTAGGGTTTAAAGATAACATTTTAACCCTTATAATTTTAGTATAAACCCATAGGAAGAAAAAAAAAAGCATTGTTCAAGAAGAAATACAGAAATATAAAATAAATAATAACTTTTACCAGATTTTTACATTTGATTTCTTACTCTAAAGAGAAAATCCTATACCTGGTAACCTTTATTACCTCCTCCAGACCTCCTGAGTCATGGAAACAGATTTCGGAAAGATGCCCAAGGCCAATCATTTAGAAAAGCAACAAAACCAAACCCTTTCACTCATTTGTTTCCCAGGTCATAGAACAAAAGCCTGTAGGCCTCCTATTTCCATCTTTAGCACACACTCTCACTTGAGACTTAGAAAGAAGCTTAAATTTGACTTGCAAAAGAAAGAGAGAGGCATGCTCTTACTCCCTGGAGAAAGCACCTGAAAATAATGTGCTTTTTAAAATTTTTATTTAAGCTTTAGAAACTTCAACTCAAGCTGTAAGAGGGGAAAGGAAGGCCAAGCCAGGCAGCTAGTACAAGTAAGGTGCAGACACAGAGCCTTGTCCTGTGTCATCTGGGAAAGGTCCATATTGAAAAACAGCTTCACAAGTCCCCACATGCCCTAGTTCCTGGGCCATTGCTCCACAGGAAAAACTGCAGCTTTATGTGTGCTTTGTAGCATTTGAAATTAAATTGCCTTATGGATCTTCAACTGTAGCTATTTTAAAATTAAATAAAAAATTATTTGAGAAAGAAAAAGAGACCTCATTTCCTCTTATCTCACTGAAACAAAATACACACAGTCTATGGCCCCTATCCATTACTGCAGATTAATTTAAACCTAAAACAAGACATGCACATTTTTCAAGAGCACTTTAAGTTTTCATGCAGAGGATGTGTCTGCTCCCCACTGTGCTGGCTGAGGTGTATCAGTACTATCAGGCAGGGTTAAGTGGACCCATGATGAATGCCCAGAGGAAGCTTTTTTTTGCTGGGCATCTGGGACTGAGGGACACAAAGACCTCCTAAATCTGAATACGGAGCCTGTATTGCCATCTTTCCCATCACTTCTGGTTCTTTAAATCAATGTGGAGACACTACCATTTAATGACGGAAAAGTGGTACAGTTACCGTGACTCTTTGTGGTTCTGTTTTTTACAGCCTTTCCTCACACAGCTTTAGCAGTGGTAACAAGGAGCTGCCCTACTTTTCTTTTTTAGGAGTATTTTTCCAAGACACATCAAGAGAGGGAGCCTGGCTACCCCACTTCCTTTGAAAAACTATGTACTTTCTTCACTAAAACCTGCTTTTGCTGAAAAAGAAGCTAAACTCAGAACAGACTATGCTAACAGGTCATAGAGCCCAGTGCACAGGACTCTTCTCGAAGGCTGTAAAACATCAAGCATAATTCCCTAGGCCTGCCTTGGCTGGGCACCTCAGATATGTATACATGCCCATGTGCCTATGTTTATGGCGAATATTCTCTTCCCCCTCCTCACACAAGTGTTTATTTCCTTGGAAGATAAGAGAATCAATCTGATGGTAGGAGATAATCAGGATTGTCCCTCTGCGTATAATCCAAAATTCTTTGTGATTACCTATTTGTGTCCACTGTATATATGCCCACAGCTTTGACTCCAGAACAGGAAGGAACAGATTTAAAAGGAATTGTACATACAGCAGAATACTTTGAAGTCACTTATGAAAGTTCTCATTTCCCACCTTTGTCTTTAAGCATCTACACAGATCTGAGGGGTTTCAAAGGGGAATTTTTATAATCCTGTTCTGTGCCTATTTGCATTTCAAGGCAATTAAGACTCTAAAAATATCCCCAAGAGGCATTGATACTAGGAGAATATTCTGTATCATTAATGGTTATTTAGTTTTTCTTAAGGCTTCCTTTATATTTAGAATCCATTTGGTAGAATCACAGGATAAATTAATTAGGATTAAATAATACTATGACTCATCAACATACAGGAGTTCAATGTGTACTTAAATATGTTCAACAAAAAAGTGCTGCTGTGCCTTGTTCCAGTGGTATTCCTCCTGTTAGTTGACAAGTAAGGTCCTTTCTTCTTTCAGCTTTGACTTTTCACCAAGTCATCTTCCTTATTCAGTGTGCCATAGCATGAACTGTGAGAATCTGGTTGTATTTTCCCTGTCAGTTTGTGTCCTAAGGAAATGTGGTGAGAGAAGGGAAAAACAAGAACTCTGTAAAGAATTTTAATAAAACAAATCCCCCATCAATCCATCATTTAAACATTCTTTGCTCTAGTAATCACTGTTTTCATTTGACTGGTTGTAACAATAGTTTGAAAAAACTCTGAAAAATTCTTTGAAAAATCTGTTGGGAACAGGAATAGAAATTAAGGGAACAGTATATTTATTAAATATGACTAGAGCACATCTGTGACTCAATTCTCCTAGGTCATCCCATTATCAGATACCTCATTTAAACAGAGACAGAAAAAAAGCCCTACGTACCAGGAATATGTCCACAGTCAATAAAAGGAATTTGTAAATGCTCCTCTTTTTTATTTCTTGCAATTATAAACACACCAAGGAAAGACAGTAGACACCTGCAAAATAACAGTGGCAGAGTATCATTAGAAACAGTTCACTGCATCTGAGATGAGAATTTCTTTCCATGTTTCTTTTTCAAGGACTTCCAAATACAAGTTGCTGAGTTTATAAAGAAACACTTCTTCCTGGAAGCTCTATAAATTCATCTTGGGATTTCTTTCAGTCTAGTTTTTGCCTCCTGAAGCTTTATTATCAGTTCCAAAGGCTCCACAGCCAAAATTACACTTTCAGCAATATATACCTAATCAAATGCCTGTGAGTGTGAGACCACAACATTTGAATCCCTGAGCAAATCTTCACGGAGCATCCAAACTAGCATTCTAGCATGTGCAATTTCATTAACAACTCAGTCTAGCTGCAGACAATCAACATCTCTGTTGTTTTTCTCATTTGACTGTGTGTCTCAGGGGCAAGCTGCAAGCCAGAAGCAGTGAAAAACTGCTATGGTTGGACAAATCTTCTATCTGCTCTATGTTGGACACACAACTCCTAATTCCTATTTGCCAAATACATGGTTGCTCATCTCCAGTTTTTGTCTCTTTTTTGTCTACAGTCAGACAAGACAGCAGTTGTGTGCACCTACTCCAGCCCAACTGCAGAAGATGAAGATGTCTGTAGCTATCAGCCCCATTTATTTGACAGCACTGTGGCAAGACACCTCCAGTAGTTCTCTGAGATGCTTTTAACCATCTCACACCCATTATCGAGTAACTGTCCCCTGTCCCAAAAGTTTTTATAGTGCTGAGAGCCAGGAGAAGGTTCCTGCTCTCATAACACCTAGGCCATTCTTCAGGAATTTATTTAGCATGCTCTGAATTCTTCTGCAGGCACACTGTGTCTTTCTTGACACAGGAAGGTGGGAGAGAGTTATTATATTATTCCCTTATAGGCAAGCAGCTCATATAGTTGCCCATGCCTAGCAGCAGCAGACACACAACTGGAAGGTAACATGGGAGGAGATGTCTCAGCTGTAAAAGAACCCCCTGTAACTTGATATTTGGTGCAGAACAGTGATTTCTCCTTCCTGCTGGAGCAACACATGCTGCTGGTTTTTCATTCCATCATGAGATTAGTAGTTCATAAGTGTCTCACATTTTTACATATTTGGATTCAAAACCGGGCTCCAAACTCCCAAAGCACAGACATCAATCTTTTTTTTTAGTGTTTTTTTTTATCCTGCTATAATGGCTTTTCCATAATATTTTAATAACAAGGCAGGTTTCTTCTTACTGAGAAAAGAAGGCACAAGGCAATGGTGTTTCAGTACAAACTGAAACAGTGCAGATTTTAGGCTGATACACTTACCCGAACAGAAACATGAACACACTCAGGAAAGCTGCACTTTGGAATTCCCGATAAAATATGACCCCTGGAATGTGACAGAAACAAGAATTGCAGATCTTGACTGGCTTCCAAGTGATATGAATTACAGCTGGGAGGGTCAGGAGCAGTGTCATGCTTAAACGGAGCAAAAAAATCCCAAATAAGGTATTAATGCACATTGTGATGTGTTCACTTTATGTGCCTATATTCTATAATCTAGGCTTTTTCAAGATACTGCATGGGACTGGTGAAGATTTAGTCAATCAGGTTGGAACATGTGCTGGGTTAGTAACTGTACGGATGCAGGTATTTTTTGCATTGTCAGCAACAGTTTTTATGCAGGTCAAACTCAAGGTCTTATTCACAAGCAAAGACATACCAATATAGCTAAGAGGTTCTTCATGGATTTCGTTAAGATACTCCAGCAGACCATGTGGACATCTTAACTCCAATTGGGAACAGATTTTCAATAATTAACTGTGTCCCTCATGTTTATACCAAGTTAAGGGCTCCAGCAGACAAGTTTGCCAAATCTTTCTGGCTGAAGGGATCACTAGCTCTTTCTGGTCACCCCTCTTCCAGGAATTAGCACCTCTGTAGTGGAGGTGACAGAACCAGATGTGTATCTGGATCTCAGCTGCTCCGATTAGCAGCCAAGTATATTAGCTTTAAACCACTGATGAGCATAGTTCTGCTTAGAAACACCAGTGTGAACCAGTGCAGCTGAAGTGTGACTGTGTCTTCAAAGGCTGTAACTGGGGATGGGGGTGGCACGAGACAAGATACCTTCTATGAGCAGCCCAGCAAGATTCAGCAGAGGTTGTTCTTCTAAGCCCTACACTGGTTTAACTAACCTGGTGCAAATACATGTGTATCCAGTCTCAAAGCTATTAAGCCATTCCTGAATAGGTACTTGATCTCTTAAGGAGGCACCAGGCCAAACTTCCCATATGGCCATAGGAATGCAACCCCTTTTTGGCACAAGTCTTCTCTCAGTCACAAAGCGTAGGTCTCTTCTAACACAGGTGCTGAGGCAATCTGTGCGTGAAGCTAACTCCCTTCTCATTAATGGCAGCTCTGCATGAGAAACTCTGCACAGCAATGACAGGAAAGCCCCCAGTGTGTGTTAAAATGAGTCATAAATGTTCTAACAACATGATCATTTTGGCTCATTGCTGATACAGCATCTTAGTCGTCCTCCCTGCTCATGTTCTGATGCTGCGCACCATTTCCAAGATTTGCAGTCCCTCTTTAACAATGTTGAGTTCAAAGTTCTCACCCAGAATAAAATGTTAAATGATTAAAAAGTCTTTGGAGTAATTTTATTTCCTTCACTTAACCCAGAATTCCACCTTCTGAAACAGAATATACGCTAACTACTATGAAACACAGCTGGTTGTCATTTGAGTAGTTTGCCAGGCCATTAAAATTACTCTACCAGTTCGTATACAGAGAGGCTGGTGTGCACATGGTAAACGCATTTACTGGATGTCAAGATGAGGCTAGGATAAATGCAGGTTCTTCTAGTAAGCCAGCAAGACACAGTAAATCACACATATCTATTCTGGAAGAGCTAGAATTTGATTGTTTTTCATAGAAAATAGGTTTGTGTTGGAAGGGGACCTTAAAGATAATCTAGTTCCAACATCCCTGCCATTTATTTTGCTTCAGAAGTTGTGAACTTGTTTATTTTTCAGAACTTAAACACCTGTGACTTAGGAAAAACTTTTTGTGAAGAGAAAAACCATGGCTGGTTTGGGTTCCTGTTCACAGGTAGTAATTTTTGAAAACGTGATGTTTAGAACATCATTGTGTAGAGGTAGAAGGCTGGAAACAAACCTGAAATGATGGCACTGGTGGTGAAAAACACAAAATTAATGGGCACAACTGCTGTTGCTTCATACAGATGCATTGCTTGATTCAAGAACCTGCAAGACAAGCATTATTACACCTCATGCCTACAAGAGGTTCCTTGTACTTTAAGTCAGGTTAAGCCACCTTATGTCAGTTTAACAATAAGTGTGACTGTTTCTTACCCCAATAGCCCTAACTAGCATACATGTATTGAATTTACTTTCTGGTTTTGACTCTGCAGAGTACAAACAAGACACAAGAGAGTTGGCATGAATCCTTCTGGCCATGGGCTATCAATGGATATTTTTTTTAAGCATTTTTGGAAAAATTTTGTCTTCCACAGATAAGGCAGGAATGCTAGGGTATTATTTCTTATGGTCTGCATCGGTTCTTGGAAGCAGTGCTGCTTGCAAGCAGCCAGGGACAAGTTGCTCTAATTTAAACAGGTTGTGTAAGGGTATATTTACAGCACAAACATGAACATGTGAGTTCTTGTAGGAACTGTTTCACTTTGCTGAAGTCAACATTGCTGCTAATGCTCCATCCAGCTTGGCTGAAACACCTATTTGTATATTTATCCATGCAATCACACCCCAGAAACATCCTGTCCTGCCGGGAAAGTCCAGGAAGATAGCTCCAAGCCTGTGCTCCTTGGGTTGGAAACTCTCTGCTGTCGTCTTCAGAAAGGCAACATGAATCCTCACCACATTCACGACCAAGAGTGTGCAGGACCACAGCAGCATACACTGCACACAGACCTGCAGGGTCAAGAAACTGGCCATGGAGTAGCCTCCACAGTCTGCATCAGCAGATCGAAAAGGCAAAGCAATTAACTCACTTTTACAGAGACCACAGCTATCAACATTTACCCATAGAGTGATCAACCATGAGTGTGAACTTGTGGATGCACCAGAAGATACTTTGTTATGTGACCAGTGCATTCCAGACCAAAAGAGAAAAATCAGGAGCCTTCAGAGTATATTCTAACCTATAAAAAGAACCACATTTAAATGTTTCACTGGTGCAATATATGTGCACAGTAAAAATCCAAGCTTGGATCTGTTTTAGCCATTAAAGCAATTGCATAGTTATTTTAGCAACTGTTGAACAGTCTCCATGGTGCTTTAAAAATAAAGAAATCCTACATATCCACAAGATAGTCAGGATTTTGAAGTCATTGAAAACACCTCATTATTTTCTCCCATTTGCAACAAACTTGGTCACAGGAACTAAAACAATGATACCAAGGCCCAGCGCTGGATCCAGGAGATTGTTCCAGCACAGGCTGTTCTGAGCTAACACATGACAATCAAATAAAATGAGGAAACAAATAAAATGAAAAATTTATTCTGACAGTACTGTCCCCATTAGAAAATGCATCCAAGAGAGAAGAGAGAAAGGCACTCAGCCCAGGGAATGAAATGGGCACATTTCACTTCTGTTTTAATTTTGGCCCAGCAAAAGAAATAAAGAAAAACTGGAAAGATGGAGGTTAATTCAGAAGCTTCCTATCTACCAAGCTCTTATTTCCTATTTTAAATGCCCAGAGCTGTTCTTCCAGTGAAGACAAGCTGGATGTAAATCACTCTATAATCTGCTACAGGGGAGTTCCTGAGTCAGCCATGGAGAGTCACTGCATAATAATGCATGGACTTTCTGATTCCACATGGGAATGGTATGTTCTGCCATGAAAAAGCTGGGTTGGCTCTTCTACCGGAAAATAATCATGCAAGTAAATACTCAGGCTTACACTGAACAGTCTAGATGAGATTACTGAATGATGCTATCAGCACCTGAAGCAGAGGGACAGGCATAAAGGAAACAGACACTCTGTTCAGCTGTAAGACATATTTTACCACACTGCCATACCCAGCAATCTGCAAAAGCAGCATAAACCAAACCCTTAACAGACCAGAGGCCTGAAGGGAAAACTTGGATGTCCCCTGCACACCAAAAGTTAACTATTTCCTAGAAAGGTACAGAGATACAGGATAGCAAAGTGCAAGATGCAGATTTAACAGAGGCAGGGAGAAAGTTCAGATAAACTCTCTTCTTCAGTCTGACTGGTGACATAAAGCTGGGGAGAAGACATGCATAATGAGGATAACATGGCCATTTGATTATTCAGTAATAAAGATTTCTAAACATAACCCCCAAAAGATTACATAAACATAAATTTCATTTAATAAGTTAAGAACTGTGTCAAAACTAGTCAAGCAAATTTGAGAAGACCTTGTAGAAGGTGATAAGGAGAGGAGGTAGCATCTATAACAATCAATAATAAACTAAGAAATAAAGCTTAAATAAGCAATACCATCAGTTGGAGACAATAAATGCATCTGTCAAGGCCCTGCCAGGAATTTGTTGCCTCAAAATGCAACTTGTATCTGGAATCATTATCAGTACCAAATAAAACTCACAGATAAAATGTGTATGAAGGTTAGGAGATAAGCAGAAGGTCACTTACTTGACTTGGAAAGCACAAGAACTTGCCATTAAAGCAACCATGATATAGAAAATGGAATAAGTTAGCTGCATTTTCCCCTTCACAGATAGTGTTATCATACTGGACACAGCCTTTACAGCAATGACAGTCATTGATGCTGAAAGAGAAGGGGATAGATTAGCAGGGCAGGATTCACAGCAGTAACCTCAGAGCACGAGGGAGAGAGGACAAGGTTCCAGGTCAGAGCCAGAGGTCTGATTACCTAAAATAAGACAGGTAGGATTTGGGCACCTAAAACCAAGTGTAGAATTTTATAAACACTTGCTAAGCTACATCAAAACCCAAAGCGGCCTTAGCTCCATGTGTACTTCGTGTTTTGCTTTTAAGTTTTTGGAGCACATTGGACTACCAGTTGGAGGTGATACAACAGCCCCCTTGACTTCTAGACATACTTTACTTAGCTCCAGCTGCTAATTTGGAGCCCATGTTGCATTATTCAGGAGAGGTCTGAGAGGTCTGGTTATCTGTTCAAAGCAGTTAGGACACCTCTTAATAGCAGCCTGCATGTGACATTGGCAGCCTAAAATAACTCTTCACCTTCAGGATTTCTCTGCTGAGGTGGGAGCTGGACAAAGCTCTCCAAAGCTGACTTCTGGGATCACATCCCAAAGCTCCTAACTCTCCCCATGAGTTATGTATAGAGGGCAGACAACCAACACAGGGGTCTGCCCTTTTTTTCAGGAGTGGGGCTCTTAAGAACATTTACGGGACTTAGCCAATAGAACAGAATATTTCAGTAGGGTGTTGTCAATTCATTGAATCACTCTCATTGCATCACCACAAACAAATCTCAGACAGCAGGCAACGGTTTTAACACATATCAGCAGTTCACAGAAGTCTTGCAAGACAGGTCTTTTAGAAAAGGAGCTGAGAGTTACTTTAGATTTTCTTTTGGAGTGTGCTATTGGCTTGTTGAATCACAGCCTAACCCAAGTAGGCTGTGATTACTGCAAATAAAATGTAACAAATCCAGAAGAAACTAAAAATTTTAAGAAGAGTCAGGCTTCAGAGATGACCTTTGAAGAAAGGTAATTAATTGTCAGGAGCACCGTTCCCCAGCTGGGATCCAGTTCCCCCCTCGTGCAGAGCTGAGGAGTGTTGGATTTCAGTGGTCTGATTCATCCTCCTGTAACTGCAACATTCAGATTGGCAAGGAGACCTGCACTGTGCAAAAAGTTCAGGCCAAGGTTGGGAGAAAAGGTGGGAGAAAAAGAATGAATTCAGGTCTGTGGTTTTGATTGTAAGTATTTTTCTTTTAGCAAGTCCAAAAGTTCAGGGAGAGTTTAAGAGTTGCACACATCTTGTGATGATCCTGTTCACCACCATGAAATTCACTGTTTTCATAACAACGTTTTCATCAAGTACTTAATTTCTTTCTCTGTAATGGAAACAGGTGAAGTGGTTTAACAAACACAGCTGTAACACCGAGCAGAGGTCAAATGCTGGTCTGCAGTAGTGCAAATGGTATGATACAAAGTCAAAAATACACTCAAGCCCCAACAAGCAGTGCACATAAAAATTGAGATTTGCACTCTAATATGGGGGAGCTATTATTTTAAAAGAACACTTATAGGTAAAAATCAGTAGTTTGAACTGTCCACCTAAGAGTAGATTCCTGAATTTTTTTTTCTGACAAAAGGGCAGTTTCCATGCCTCATAATTTTAATAAGGCAGAAAAGAAAGCACTGGGGGTTTTCGTTTGTTTGTTTTGTTGGTTGGTTTAGTTTCTTTGAAAAGTGGAATGGTCTTTTTTTGCTAAATTAGCTCTGGAATAAGTTTCAAAACCTAGGAAATGGTTTTCGTTTCTCTGTTGTAACGACCTCCCCTCAAGACTAGTGTAACAAATGATGTCACTTTCCAGCTGTTAGGGCAGAAAACTCTGAAATCTCACTTTAATCTGAAATATGTCCCCTCAAACTTATGATAACTTTCAGTATATACATGAGGCAAGATAATTCTCACCAAATGAATTTGCAGTTGTACTAAGCAAAATGTTTTCAGATTTTATGATCATCTCTGTATTTTCTTCATGATGAAAGTAGCTTGCATATCCAGTGAAACACAAGAGCTGCTCTCTCTTTAAAGAAACCTTTCTACATTTAATTTACATCTGTATGAACACTCCACTAGGAATGTATCTGAACAGAAAAAGATGAAATTCCCTTGCTCAAGCTTCCAACAGGACCCCAAGCCTCATCTACTCCTCCAGCAGGCAGGGCCTTCAAAGGGTCACGTATCAGGGAGCAGGTCACAGCTGGGAGCAAAGTTACTGGGCAATTTCTCAACCCCTCCATCACTTTGCTCAGCAGAAAGGTTGGAGACCAAAGAGAAGGCTCTAGGTGTAACTTTGTGGAGACTGCGAGGCACCAGCACAGCTGCAGGAACCAGAGTCAGATGAAATCATGTATTTCATCTTCAAGGGAAATATCAGTATTTCAGAACTTCCCATAAACCAGGATTTGTTTGTTTGTGTCTTTTTTAATAGAGCAGAAGTAATAACAAATTTTTCCTCAAGCTGCATATGCTCACCAAAACCTCAGCAGCCACCAGCTGAAATTGTATTTTTGGTTGTTTGCAGCCTGACTACCAAGCTGCAGTTAGTGCCTGCCAGGCCACAGGTTTGCAGCCTTGCTGCTGTTCAGCATCTCCAAGTGTCCCTTTCACACTGGCAGCATCAGGGCCGGCAGGCTCCACAGCAAAATAAGTGTGCAGGGCTACACAGATGAACCACCCAGGTCTCCTGGAGCTGTGTGTTGACCTTGCTTGGGGCAGCCATCACGGTGGGCCTGCCCAGAACTGTGGCAGACAGTGTAGGAGCCCACCTGGAGATCTTCAGGCTTCCAGCTACGCAACAAGGAGGGTGGATCCACTCATTAGGAGTGCTTAGGAGTGCACAGTGCTTCACACTCCTCATAGCAGTGCTGGAAGCTGCAGAGCAGCTCAGGAGAGCTCTGCTAAAGCTGCCACGCTCTGGGCTAGGAGCTGGGGAATGGCTAGACTCACACTTCCCTCCTGCAAACCAGGAGTAGTGGAACAGTTAGACTTAAGACTTTTGGAGCTCTTCCATGTCTGCCTCATACAGGGAGCGTGGACATCCTTCGATGCTTCTGCAGAGCTACAGATCCTAATGTTCCTAGTCTGGGAAACCTATATGGGAAGACTATCCCAAAAAATTGTTCTAAAAGTTTGAGCTTTTGAGCTAAGAAACCACTCAGGTATCTGAAGGAAGATAGTTAAGAAAGCTGTGATGGTTTTTCACATTCAGTCAAGTCCAAATTTTGTACCTGGCAAACCTTAGTGAAATTCTGTTTTATCAAAACCCTCACGATCATCTCCATTAGAAATGTGCTTTATGAGTCTTTGCAAACTAATACGTGCATTCACTGAACTGAGAGAATGACCTTTTACTTGAACAACACAGTTCAAGCACTTTTCACTTCAACCAAAGACTTGTGGTGTCCCATGAGGCTTTCATGGAGAAGTGACAAGGACTGGACAATTTGTCACGTGGGGTGGTCAAAATTCTTAATATAAGCAGTGGAGCTTCAGAGATAACCTCCTGACATTTCTCAAAACTGATTCAAGTTTAACTTTATTGAAAGCTACCCGATAAAGTGACCTCCCTATTTCTCTGGTTATTGATTGTGGTGACAGTGGCCCACAAACTTCAGTGGCCCACTGAGTTCTTGTTATGCTTCTGGAAAGGTGGTAAAATATTAAATGTTGCATATGCAACATAGACAATAGTCATCAATAATTCAAAGAAAAGTTGTTGTACAGTCACAGCATATCACTGCATTTGTTTAAGGAGTGCTTACAAGGTCTTAAACTGCTCTGTTTTAAAGAACTGATTTTCACACCCTGCTCTCCGAAACAAAGTTTCAGACAGTCCACTTTCCCAGGATCTAAACCTAAAGTGTTATCTAAAAAAAAGCTTCAGTATGCCATTCCACATAGCATATTATTTTCAAGGTATCTGCAAAAAGAAATACTCCCATCAATAAGCATAGAAACTATGTTTCATAATCAGCTTTTTTCTCCAAAAAGAGACCCCAGTAAAAATCATGTGAAATGTTTCAAATGTTTCTCCTTCAGCACACCACTTTGAAATGGCCCCAATCTAAACTAGCTGAGAGACTGAGTGACAAGGAATTATCAAGTAACAGACAGGAACATTAAAGTGAATAATATGTTCTTACCCAATAGTGCCACCATCATTAACAAAACCACGATGTGTTTCACAGCCTTTCTTTTGTAAAAATAGAGAAGAATGCAGAATATTAAAATTTCTAAGATCTGAAAATAAAAGAGAAGAAAGTTAGAGCTGTGAAACTATGTAATAAATGCTTCATTCAAAGACTGAGATGTCACATCACTTTTCATTGCACCTTCTGCTAAAAAATAATTTTATTGCCAGTTGACTGAGCTATCAAACAATTATTGTCATTTATCTTTCCTATTATAGCAAAATTTAAACTGAGCATTTCTTATTTCTTTAGTTTTTCTTTTTGCACTTCTATCTACATTTTATCACTGGTAATGTTGAGAAGACTTTTTTAATGTGACAGCAAAGGTATCCATATTTATTGTAATAATTCTTACAGAAACTCTGTTTATAATTCCTATGGAGTAAAGCACTTAGCTAAAGATAGAGCAGTCTCTGCTTTTAGCTATAATATTCTCAGTGTCACTCTTTGCCATGTGCAAGCTCATTTATCCTACCCTTTTTGCCCCTTTCACCATTTCTACTAAAAACTCTCCTCAAAATTTTGTTCAAATTTTCTGCCATACATCATAAGGAGGAAAGCATTTATTTCACATAGTAGTTCTCAAATCGAAGGTACCTGACAGAAGCTTACCTTGCAAATCTCAATGGCAACCAACAGACCACACTGCAGCTGCAATTGCAGCTGCCGAAGCAGCTTTATCTACACCATGCATGGTCTGGTTTTGCTCCTTCAATAACATATGACAGCTAAATGACAGACAGCTAAATTTACTGACTTGCTCTTAATTTGTCTCTGCAGATTCCCTCAGTTACTCTTGCCTTCTGCCATCTCAAAAGTGTGGGTATTCTCCCCCTCTATGCCTAAAGAAAGCAACAAATGCAAGAGCCATAAAGCTTCTGTGAGGACCAGAAGACTTATGAAAACAGGGGTGATAGACTTTTGCACTGAAAAGTGCTCAGAAGCCTGGTAGCCTTTGAGACAGCACAAAGAAAGAGAAATTTCAGTCTCACAGTAAGTAACTTGGCCAGCCTCCCCAGCTTTAGTCAACAGTGCAATACTGGGTATGTCTAAATCAGGAACCAAGGCAGAATACATGTTAAGATCTGCAGACAGGTGAGTTCATCTTGGCCTCCCTGTGGAAAACTGTGACAGGGCTTTAAGGGAACTTGAGAGAAGAAGTAAAAGTTAGCAGATTTGCTCTTCATGCCACTGGCAAACACATATTAGGGCCAGCGCAGAATACCACATTATCAGGCTGCACCTACAACAACCTCCAAATAGCTTCAATTGCTATTTTGATAGTGAAAAATTGATAACAGAATAGAAGAAAGATGTGCTAAATAAATACTCCTCACTCAGAAAGATATCCAGGCTAAGAAAGGAGTTCCAGAGACACCTTAGGCATTCTTTTTCATGACACGCAAGTCCAGGACTGGCACACAGGATGGTGTGCGATGGCACCAGGTGACACAGCACTGTGAGATCTGCTTCCCCTGCCAGGGCAAACCTGAGCACCAGTCACCTCACCCTTGGTCTGGTTGCCCTAGAGTGTACAGAAACCCATGAGACAACCCTACTGCAGGCAGCCAGCTAAACCTACACTGATTCATTTTATATCCTCTAGATGATCCCAGCAGGGGAAGCATCATCATCTGCCCTGTCACTTAGATTTCAAACTGTGCAAGAATAATCATCCAAAACCAAGGCAAGGGGCAGTCACTGGCTCAAACTGTTCCATCACAGCAGCTCTGGCATTCCACTCCCTCTTCCACCTCACTCCTACCCCCTGACTGGCAGGTATTGCCAAGCAGCACAATCCTTGACTGAACCAGGACACCACAGCAGGCTCTGTCCATCAGCCTTCTGTTGATCCTCATCCTATCATCAGCTCTTCTCTTGCTAAAGCTATGAAAAAGCTCCACTGTGATCTCATCTTGCTTAAAAGCAAACAAACCCACCAAGAAGACTCACTCCGGAAAGGAAACAGCCAAGAAAAAGGATCAAAAGGACATAAGAGTCCCTGATGGCAGCTCTTGAAGGGGTGCACAGATCTGTGTTCATGTCTGCTTCTGCCTCCTGAGGAAGCCCCAAGAGCAGAAATAGTGTAGGGACAGAGATGGCAGTCCTGTGGCCAAACCTAGGGAGAAAAAATGATGTTTGCTTTTCAGGGCTGCTATTTAAGTTTATTCAGCTCTGCCAAGTCTCACCTACTAAGCATGAAATTCAAACATTAGTTCTCACCTAGTGCTGCCCAGCAGCCAAACTATTCTTCCATGGTTCTTTGCCGCTTGGTGAACCACCAACAGGCCACCTTTAATCACAAGACAAAGGAGAATCTGTGACAATTAAGTCACACTGCAAGCAGAATGCATGGCTCCTAACAGGACCTCACACAGACAGGAGCCCTCCTGGGGTGTCTCAGCTGTTGCCTATGATTGTCTCCTGAGAACTACCCAAAACGGTGCTTGCTCTCATAGCTGTAGCAGTGTTAAATACGAACTCCAGGAATGGGAAGTGCATAGATATATCGGCTTCACATATTCTGTTTAGAGGAATTGAAGGAACGTGACCTGTTTTACAATGATCTTGGCTGCTGTAACTAACCTCTACAGAAGTCTCCTCAAGCCCTCATCTCATCAACATTTTTTTTATAATCATGATGTTTTTCATCTTTCTGAGCATTATCAGAAGGCACCAGAACAAAATACCACACTGTCTGCCTCAAGTGTTTTCCCGACATATACAGCACCATAAGGACCAATAAACCAAGAGGGTCTTCTAGGCACTTTGAAAGAAAAGCAGAAATGCTTTGAACCTGATTTTGCAGAGATTAAATATTAACAACCCAATAGTTACTATGCTTCTGTTTAGGGAAACCTAAGAGCTTCCTCTATAATTTATGTTATCTGTAGTGACTCGAAGTGCACATAAGCAAAAGAGAGAAAAACAAGCTAGGCTAGTCATTCTTGCTCAGACATGATTATGCTACTGCAAAGACTCAGAAGGTGACTCAAAGTTGTCTTGAAGGAACTGGAGGCTATTTCTGCACAATATGGCAGTGGAATGCCACGTAGGGGTGGTTTACCACCCACAGAGAACATTTTGTACCATTGGGGCTTTGTGTTTCTCAGCAGACAACACTTTGGGGCTACTTTTAGAAAGACTGTTGGACTGCATTATACTTCTGAACTGTCTCCTCACTACATACTTATACTGAAAACTCTGCAACTTCTGCAACTTTTTTGCATCTTAAGAGCCAACCTGTGCTAGGCATTTTACAAACAATTATGAATAGCTAGCTCCCTGCTCAAAGAGAATGTGTACAACATGGTTTGGTTGATTTTCCAGCAGCATACAAGGATAATCAGTCTGGTATCTCACAGTCTCTTGTGGAACCTTTCACTCCTCCCTCCCTTTTCTTTGGAGAGAAGAAGCCCAACACAGATGAATCCAGGGAGCAGAAGGAACAAATAAAGACTGATATATTGTTGGTTCAACAAGATTTGCTGTGTACTTACTCCATCCCTCCCTACGACCCATCCTGTACATATAGAATTAGATGCTGGCTGAGGCAGGGAAAAGAGAGAAGAGGGGAAAAAAAGTCCAGGAGTTACCTACCACTTCCTCATAATGTTATCTAAGAAGAATACAGCACAGTCTTCCTAGACATTCAGTTGTGTTCTTACAAACTTTTCTAAAACAAAGTAAAAAAAGTCCTCAGACGGGGAAAAGCCCTTTTCCAGCAACCTGTTGGTTTCAAAAAGAGGTGAATGGCATGTCACCTAGAAATTTCTGGTGTCACTGGGTGTGAATGGAGAGTTTTCTTTCTCCACCATTTCTATACAAATGGGCGAATCAACAATTTAAAATCAGTGCCTAAAATGCCAGGCATTATCATCTAAAGGTGAAACTGCATGGTAGAGGGGGATATTCAGTAGGAAAGAGAGAGGGTCCTCCAGTGAGCACTGAGATCCCTCTTCTGAACCCTCTCCTAAAGAAGTCCCTCTTGCTGTGCTGATTGCATGGACTTACTGAAGCTCTTGTGGAGGCTGAAGCGACCCTTTTTGAGTACCCCAAAACTCTCGGGCACTGCTTTCAAAAGCCTCTCTACTGCCTGATTGAAAGTGCATGTTGTGATTTATACATGAACATTAATTTCTTCCATTGAGCTGTATCATCATCTTTCAGGATCTTTAAAATGCACAAAAAACTGAAAGAGAGTTTAAAATGCACAACAAACTGAAAGAGAGGATCAACATTTTTTTTATGGTAGCATGTAATTTGCGCTTAATCAGTAGTCTCATGGATATCTAGATGTATGTAAAGTCTGGAGGTTGGCTAAAAGATTAAGGTCCTCAAACTGTCTACTCAGTGGCTTTCTAGCTGAGCATCCTACCAAGAAAAGCCTGGGCACTAAGAATCTAATTCAAGTGAGTCACTTTACTGGGAAAAAAAGTAAATGGTTCTGAAGCTCCTATATTGCATCTTTTACATTCAGCTGGAGGAAAACATTTTCAACTTTCCAGAGGAAAAGAGAGACAGAAATTCCTCCTACACTCTCTGGTCTTGTTTCTGATGCTAATTAAATACATCAAAGAAGACATATGGCATTTGAAGTTTGTACACAGATACTTAATCAAAATGGTATTTTTGTATTTGAATTCTAACTCAGGTTAAAGCAGGCCACCCCTTCACATCTCAACTCCATACAAAGCTCCTTTCAGCCAGGCTTAACAACATGGGGATAAACCAGAGTGATAAGAATGGAAAAAGCAGGACCAACAGTCTGCATAGCCTTTTTTTAAAAGCACAATTCCATCACATTCCAGACAAGCCCTGTAACTTAGCTGTACATGCAGACAGAGTGGCATGAACACATACATAGGAAATATAAGCAGTACCGATATTTAGGTTTTCCCTCAATATCCCCAAACCCCCAAATCTTTCCATTTTTGTTAATCCTGCATGACTATGACCTTCCCCTGGCATGTAGCTCAAAAGACACCTTCTGGTGCTGCAGGGGACAAGGATGATGACCCAGGGACTTTCTCTCCTATGAAAATCACACAATTTATCGCCACAAGCAGTTTTTCTACCACTAATTCATAATGCTGTTAAAGGCCCCATAATACCAGTTTTTCTGAATTAGGGAGTAGTAAGAATCAGATACTCACTGAATATACCAAAAAAGGCCAGCTCACTAAGTAATTCTGTACTTGTCTTGCTGTGAGCTCTTGAGGTACATTTGGAGCAAATGTCACCAACAAGTATGTCCCTGTTACTGTCAGTGTTCCACCTTTAAAGAAAAGGATACATTATTTTGGTAATACAGTATTTGGCAATCATGGTCATCTTTGCTCTACAGATGATTTGGAAATGGTTTCTAGAAAAACATTTAAGTCCATTAAAGCAGATCTGTGCTTAGGTAATTGGATTGTCTTGCATTTGTGGTCTTATCTAGTCTAATTTTTATTAAAGACTCAGAGAGTTTTGGAAATGTGAAAAAAGTTGTCAGTAAAGCCGTGTAATTTTGGGTTCCAACTCAACAAAGCATTTTCAAATATTCTCAACTCTAAAATCAAGGGTATGACAAAGCAGAATCAATTCTTTGTATTTCTCACAGGCACAAAGCACATGACATAAACTTAGCCTAAACTGAAAGGACAAATTGCTTACTGGTGTAGTCAGCTAGATCATTAACCAGCGTAAACATATGTAACTCTCCCAAAGTCAGTGTGGCCACTGAGATCCGCACCAGATATCAACCTGCCCTGGAAATATTAGATGCAACACATATGTTCCAGTCCAATGCTTATGTGAAGCTGTTGTGAGGCCAACATTTTGGCCACTCCCTGTTGTATTTGCAGGCCTATGAACTGTTTTATAAAAGCTTGATTTCCAAAGACTATTCAGCCACTAGGTTGCCAGGGCCCCTTTTCAAGGTCGAACTTGCAATACTGTACTTTTAATAAAAATCTGGAAGTTTTGCCTTGTGGACATCCAGCTGACAAACACAGATGTTCACTGAAGTATCGAGATATAAGTGAGCCGATCCTGAGCTCATAAACTGTATTGGATTAAGGAAGATATTAGCTAATCAATTTTTCTTCAAGTAATCCTTAAAATTCTTGGCAAACCTATAAATTGGTGTGGAATACAAGGCTCAGGAATACAAAACAAAGCACATCCGGAGGGCTTTGCTGGCACTGTTATCTCACACAGTTCCTTTGGAAAAGCAGAACTGTTCTATATTTATGTGCTTGCAAAACCATCACCATATTTCCCATCATACAGCTCATTCGTATGGAATGTAGCAACATTGTTAAATCCTTCTTGAAAAGTCAAACTCACAGAAATAAAATAAATCAGTGCTGAACACTAGTTAAAGCAACACACAGTGTATAAGGCCATAAGGGAAACATGATCAGTGAAGGGAGGGGGAGTTTTGAATGTAGCAGCTGAGCTGGCAAACTTGGATTCCAAACCTAAACAAATAGTATATAGTATTCCTGGAATGATACTGAACAGATCTCTCTGAAACATTCATGAGAACAGCTGTCCTCACTATAGTTTGGACAATCAGGCCTAGAGATGTTAGGAGAGCACAGAAATATCAGGTGCCCTGCATCAGGTGTGCTGTCCCGGCTGAGATGGCTTGGTGTAAAGCCCAAACCCTGAAATGTGCTTGTCTCTCAGTATTGCTGTGTTCAAGGTGGGCAGTTTTGATATGCAAAAAAATCTGGGACACAGACAAAAAGTTGGCACGCTTTTAGAGTGAAGACCACATTTCTCAACAAAACACTTGGCAACATGATTATTTGTTCTTTGAAGTGATAAAATTAATACCTAAATGGAAGTTATCACTTTTAATTGAGCTTGAATTTTTGTGCGAAGTCTATGCAGTAAGAAAAAAAAATCTTATATTTGAATGAGAAACTCAATAACTTCCCCATTTTTATTAAAACTGTGTTGTACTCATAAAGATAATACTAAAGACAACCTCAGAGGCAAAAATAGAAAATGAAAATAAATTTGAGCAGTAAGGACACATAAGGAATGAATTGTGGTTGGAAGAGCAGAGGATTTGGGAATGCAGTCTTATCCTCATGCACTGAAGATTCTCTCTCTTTTTATCACTTCTTCCCAGTTGTGAAAGTATCTGCCTTGAAACACTTGCTTGGGAAAGTGGGAGTGTGAAGGTGGGGGGCTATGTGAGAGTTACAGCTTGCTAAGCATATGGCAGCACACATGTCCATATTAGCAAATGCTTACTTACCCAGTATATCAGCAGTCTTCATGGTCTTCTTTAGGAAAAAGACAGAAATAAATGCACTACCTGGAATAAAAATATAAAGACCTTTTATATATGTGTATATATATATATATATATGTTATAATATCAAGTGCTATAGCAAAAAGCTGCCTTGGGCCAAGTTTAAATATATCTCATAACTATTGTTGTTGCACCATATCATGATATAAACAACCAGGAGTCCATTCCTACAACCAACAAATGCTCAGTTTTTGTAATATTTCAGATATATCCAGCAGGCTCTTACGTGGTTGAAAAGATGCAATACACTTTCCATCTCCCAAGCAGACACTGCTTAAATTGCTCTGATTCAGTCATACGTGGAAACACCAGGAAAAGGCACCAATCAGCCTTACTGTTTCACTCCCCTTTCTGCTACCAACTCACTATATGGACTTGCTCAGGGCACACTGCATCATGGAACAATAAAATTCTGCTTCTTTAGAGGCTTATAAGTAAAGTAACTGCAGTACAATTGAGAGGAAGAAAGCCACTGCAAAAGCATAGCATTGAATATGAACTAACAGAGTGGTCATGATGTCTGCTAACAAATAGGTAGAAAGCCCCACATATGTACCGTATGGGAGCACTGCCCATGCTCTTCCAGAGGGACTTGTACTGAGGAAGGAGAAAATCAGAAGTGAGCTCTAGAAATGATGTCCCATTTCCTGGTAAACTCTGTCCCTTGTTCAGCTCTTGCATCTGTCCTCTGCCAGCTCCTAGCCCTGCCCGTTTAGGATGGGAAGTAGCGCGCAGGCGAGCAGCAGCAGTGTAGGGCCAGGATTTCTGATAAGCAACCCAATGTGGACATGTGCTAGAGAGGAAAGAAGGAGTTTGTACTTAAAATGTTGGCCACCTGGGAGAGGTGGCTCCATTACAGCATACAACATTAAAGCATCTACCTCTAAAAAAGAAGCAAAAGAAGCTGGATAGCTCCTATGTAAAAGAGATGAGGAAAGTCCTTTGGAAGAGGTGCATCAGTAATGTTGGATTCATTTAGAAACCTCAAAGAAAGTCTCTGCCCAGGAGGAATGGTGAAGGCACACATTGAACTTAAGTCATGGGATGCTGTTACAAGACCTCTGTTCCTGCCCACAACACGAAATTATTGTTTTATTCTTGAAAAAACATTTCAACCTTTTTGCAACTATCTTTGCATCATTACCTCTATTGTTCTGATGGAAAATTTAATTTGTGATTAGCTACTAGATGTACTCTAGATAAATCTGGAGAGGTACATACCAAGATATAAACAGAGAAAAGGAGTTCAGCATCATGTCTGTGTTATCCAGTCAGCAGAAAATCAGATCTAGCAGAAGTCACAAAGTTAAACTGTATCAAGAGTGATGGAGACCTATACAAATTAATAAGAGCAATAAAAGAATCTTGAACTGAAAATGCCTCACAGAAAGTAAGGTGCTTGACACAGTTTTCTTCAGTGGTTCAGTGACAACTTTGCTGGAGCAAAGACATTGGTGGTATCCAGGCAACACTGGTAATAGCAGAGCTACCTAGCTTTAGAAAAAAAGAGAGGACAAAAACCAGGAAAGAAGTAGCATCATCCAAGACAGTGTAGGAATTAATTACTGCTCTGTCACCCTGCTTTCATAGCTTTCTCAAATCCCACCTCAGCCCACCCACCTAGGCAGTCAGTGTCACAGCAAAGACCTGTTGCTTAAATCACTGATACCTTAGTGATTTTTTTTTTTTGAGTACTCCCTTGTCGGGGCTCTCTACATTCAGCAGAGATCTAGCAAATGCAATGTAGGGTTCAATTTCACTGTTGGCATTCAATCTGGGGTGAGATGAGTTATGCCCAGATTTTCAGAGCTCAATACTCTGCAGATGACAAACGGCAGCTTGGAGGGATCACAACCTCTGAGGCTGGCAGTGGGCACAAGGAGGTACAGGAATGGAGCCAGATAATGAAACTTGTCACTCAGCCTGTCATCCGCTTTAATAATGCATTCAAATGCAGCCAGCTCTTTCTCCAGGGATAGCTGGTAATGCACCAATGAACATGAGCTCAACAGAATGTATGTATAATTAATGCTCTTCATGATGTAGACTACTATGTAGAGGAGTCTAAAAATAGCAGAGGTTTGAAGAACATATATTAGGCCATCTGGGATTAGAGGAAAAACTGAAGTACGGGAGGAGGTGAAACACCAAGGTGAGGAGAGTAAGACCTAGGAGATATTCTGAACACAAAAGACAACTGTCCCTGTGGATAAACTGCCAATGCTCCGTATATATTCCAGTGAAGAAGAAAAGCAAAGGGGGTAAATCTAAGAGAAGAAGCAGAGAATGGTTACACAGATCTGATGAGATGTTAGAAGACATATGTGACTGATCAGAAGCCTGGCAAACTCTGGCTATTACCTCCAGGGCTGAATTTTAAGCAAGTTATGGTAGCACAGCCAAGAGAACACACTGGCTAACAAGATATTTTAATTTACTTTCATTTTCTTAGTTTTCTCGGTTTTAAGCTCCCAAGTTTGGCTTTCGGATAGTCCTTCATATTCTTCAGTTTTTGAGGTAGGGATGGATCAAGTTAAAGCAAAGAAACCAGATGGGCCTGGGAGGAGGGATATGGAGGGAGCCTGTGAGTTGCAGGTATGCAGGCTGGTGTTTTCTGGTTTTCAATTCTGATGGCTTTGCAGCTTTCCTTGGCTGGCAGGATAAATGGCAGACACCAAAGCGTATCCCAGGAATCCAGCAAGAAATGCATAGCCCTCCCAGCTGTTCTGCTCCTCCTCCTTAACTCCCTTGAGCTCCCACTCAGCCTCAAGTGCATTCAGCTGCTTGAGACATTAACTCCTCCAGAAAAGGTAAAGACAATATGTTAAATAGCCAACACATACTCCCTGCCATCTCCTTTCTGTTGGATGGCCTCCAAGCTGATCCTGCTGTGAGCAGGAGGTTGTGTTTGGGACTTTCCAAGGTTCCTTCTAACCTGACTTATCCTAGGACCCTTGAACTCTTGGCAGGAGAGTAAGTGGGCATCCAGAGGCTACAGCTAAGCCTACCAGATATATGGATTTAAGCACTTACCGTATCCCAAATTCAGTTCCTAAATGCATCCCTGCTGAAACTCTCCAGATTCTCCATTTCTTTCCCACCATCCCTCAGATCACAGGGGAGGTGCTTTGCATGTTCCCACCTTTCCTACCCACTACCAGTGAAGTTATTCCCTCACGCTTTCCTCCTAGGCCACTTTCCCTTCACCTTGATTTCACCCTATAACCACAGCACAACTCTAACTTCCTACCACCCAGTCCCAATTTTCCCTTTCCCATGCCAGGGTCCTCTTGTTCTCGCTCTGTCACAGAAACTGTGTGCCTCCTTCTCCTCCTCCTTCACCATTATAGTGATGTGGGAAATAAATTATTGAACATTATGTTCAACTCTATGAGTGAATAGATGAGGAACTTGGGCAATTGCTGTGCTGCAAAGTATTAATATATCTTTGCAACTGGGTTTTTTTGCCTTTTTTAAAATAAAAAACCCCCAAACTTATAGACAGTTAGAGATTGAGATCCATGTCAAAGTGAAAAATAGTCTCTGTTGGTTTGGTTTTTTTTTAATTGGTCAGCAATAGAATACAGAAATGCAGACATAAAAACTGTGTCAAAGAGTAAGCTGGCAACAGCTCGGCAACAAAACAAGTGATTTATCATTGTTCTGAAGCCTTGCTAGTTTTGAACCACTGGTTTAGGGAATACAACACGTGCACAGTTCTAAGCCTGGATTGTCAGCCTTTAAATCATCAGAGCAAAGACTACATTCCTGGTCATCTGAGAAGACTTGTATACTGTTGGGTGAATCAGAACTATTTTTGGCTTTTTAACTAATTTTTAAGGTAAAACTTTCAAAAGTAGGCACGGATCCAACTCCCATTACCACTGAGAGTGGTTGCCTGCTAGATCAAGAGACAGGCAGAAAATCTGCAAGATGATCTGTTAAGGATTAAACATTACAGAACCAACACATCCTAATGTAATCCTTGAGTTTGTTTCATGCCTTGATTGCATGCTTATAGTAATATCCATAATTCAAGAAGTAAATAGGTCCTGTAAAATGCCTGTATCTATATGACAAAGCCTTTCTGAATGCTTATTAAACTCAAAGGGAAAATATAACTTGACACTATATCAAAATAATGATAAATAAAAACTGTTGGGTGAGAAATGGGAAAAAAGAGTTTGTTCAGGAGCTTAATTTTTATGTTGAAACAACATCTTTTCATACATGAGCATAAACTAGGCTGTTTTACATTCATTACTGAATGTATATATATTTACTGTATATTGAATGATTATATATTCACATTATTGAATGAACATATATTCACTGCAGCACGCAAATTTCAATTTAAATCGAAAAAATGATTGAAAAAAAAAAAAGACTTTCTTCATGGTGTGCAATTAAGTGCCTTGAGGGAAGGCTGTCATGGTGCTACACATAGCTCAGTCAGCTGCTCATTCTCTTAGGAGAGTGATCATTTACAATTATCTCCATATGTACGTTTTCTCCAGCACAAACAGAAATAAAGAGCACTGTGATGTGTGGGTTCTGCAACTAGCAGACAATGAATGGTGAGAATCCAGCTCACAAAATAACTCCTCTGCATCCTAGACATGAAAGCTGCAGTTAGGATTGTTTCTTTTTTGTTTCTTTAAGAAAGGGATAATATGCAATAGGAGAAGTTAAGAGGTAGAAAATATGCACTGATTTATAGTGTATATTTTCTGTATTTGTCCAATCCAGCCTTAAAAATTCAAATGAGTGTCCATCATTTATTTTTCCTACCCATAACTATTTAAAAAAAGGTGTATTTTACTACCCAGCTGTTTTCCTGATACTGAGGCTATTTATGAATATGACCTTTTTACCTCTTTTTTTGTCAAGTCTTACACCATATAATTTCTTTATAATTTCTTTCACAATCGATCATAGCTTCAAATAGTAGTATATTCTTCCTTTTCCTCTTTTTGATTCCTAGATGAGCTTTCTGTATGATTTAAAAAACATTAGTGTTCTCCTCATAAATGCATAGACTGCCTGTACTACTTCTGTCTTCTCTAACAGTTAAAAAAATAAACCACACCAAATTTAATATTTGCCTCAAATGTTCATTTTGTTAAGTGTAACTGATTCAGTCAGGTAAAGGCATTTAAAACAACCCATTTAGCAGAATATTTTGTCCCCATTTCACTGGTGGTCTGGATGAAATACCAAAGGAGAAGCACCAGCCATGATTCAAAGACTATTGCACCTCTCCCAGTTTGTGCAACAGCGTTTCACTTCGAGACCAAGCATTTACTCTGTTTTATGCCCACTTAAGGGTCTGCTTCCATGTAATCAAGCAGTTTAAGTTCATCCAGTTGATTTTGCCCTAAATCTGTGGAGCAGTGCTCAAGTTATGAGGATGCAGTTGCTGCCAGTTACATTTGGAGATGTGACCTGATTAAAAAAAGAACACAAACATTGAAAATATCAGAGGAATTGCTCAAAAGAGAGACTAATAAGGTGAGCTTAATTCTGGAACTTGGATTATAGGACATAAAAACTGCAGAGAGAAGGAAAAACTTTGAGAATTCTTTTGTTGCATCTTCTAGATGAGTACAAAAAAAGTATTTTAAAGAATAGTTTGGTGAATGTTTCCCAGATATCATTAGCAACAGAGTCCTCAAAATTCCAAGTTCTTGGGCCACAAAGATGTTACATTACACGGAGTGGGTGAAATCCACTTTTACAGGAATGTCTAAGGATCTTTCCAAAATACTATCGTGTTATAAATATTCAAAGCCTAAAGCAATTTCTTGTCCCACAGCTATTTACGAAGAGCACATAAAAAATGCAAAGGGATCTCAGCAATGTCAGTCTAAGTGAGTTAAGTGTAAAGAAACTCTCCACAGCATGATGAAAACTGCAAAAGAAATGATCTCGAATGCCATTGGCCTCTACCACCCCAATCCCTCCACCTCCAAGCTATTTCTGCAGGCAAAAGCAAGATGACGAGCTAAAAACCACTGCTGCCTAAAATTACCCGAGCTACATGTAAAACATGATTTTTATTTTTTAAGTATAAAAAGTTTCTTAATGATCACATCAAACATGTATTACTCCTCCACTTTTAAATTAAAATTTACTAATTTATCCTCTTGAAGAAAACAACTGCTGTCTTCTCAAACTATTTAAAACCCTGAACAGATGTAGAGCTTGCATCATTGCAACCACACAGAGAAATACTTCCACTGTGTAAGAAGAAAAATATAGCCTTTGTAGCTTAATTCTAAGAAAAAAAATTAAAATCTGTTGGTGCCATGCCAGTTCATGGTCTGTGGTGCTGGATTCTTTTTAAAGCCAGTCATTGAAAGCATCCAGTTCAATAGAATGAGGCACAAACTTTTCACTATTTAATTGATACCAGGTTAAGTGCAAAATGCAGTTGGATGCAGTTAAATGTGGTAGCAGATCATAATAGATGTTGGCTCCATCTATTTTAAGATGCTTCCCATCAGAAGTCTGGAGATATATGATGGGTACAGCTCAAATCCATTCTGGGCAGATACTCCAGTCTGCCTTATACTCCTCCAAAACCCTGGTTTCCAAGCAAAGACAATTTTCCATGCAGACCCAGAGAGAGGGAGATCTGCAGAGAACCCCCTGGATGACTGGACATACCGCAAAGCACATTTCTCCTCAGTAACCATATGCACTGCATTCCCAATGCCAGTGAGAATCAGCTCTTACCATATGGGGCGTGTTGACACCGAATTTGGAAAAAAATGCGGCTCAGAAGGTTGGACTTAGGGTTCAGATATACATTTGGAGTTTTTTATCAAGTACTTAATTTCTTCATTTAAAAAATTAACTCATGAAAGACATAAATTCAACAATACCTTCAAACAACTACCAGACTCTGCAAAGTCCACCCTCCACCACCTAAAAGAGGTCACAACTTATTGAGAAAAATATTTCTTGATCTTTTAAACTGGAAGACCTGCTGCCTACAGTATCCTTTGCCCAGTTGTTAGTAGATGATGCACGTGTCTTGGTTAATTTGTCATTGGCCTATATGATGAACTCTTCTCAAATTAGGAGATGTTCTCTGGCTTTAATTTCAGAAAACAGGAAAGTAGTAGAAAATGTTATTGGGAAGTTATCACTATTATTGGCTGTCTACATAATTTTAATTTTCCCTTCCTTAAGGGAGCATTTGCTAGACTAAATAAAATTTCAGGTATTTGTTTGGGCTATGAAATGGATACTGTCAGCTGACATATGGGAATGGAATATAAGCTATTAAAGTGCTTTCTGGGATCTTACTGGATAAGCATTTTGGGTCAAAAAAAGTGGATGAGAATTTTGATAAGACGTAACAGTTAGGAAAATGATTTCTTGGTATTTTTTATAAGTAAGGGGAAATGGAGAATGGAGGAATCATCAGATGCAACATTTCTTCACATTTTGTGAAAATAAAGAAGAAGGAATCTGTTCAGATAAAAATCAATCCTAAATGTGATCTCTTCTTTGCAGCAGTTTAATAACCAGTGGGATTTTTCCTCTTCTCACTGCTTTTCACTTCTTCTTTCTCGTTTTCTATATTTGCATTTTATTCAGTTTGGGCAACAAATTAGATTGGTCAATATCCTTTTATGTTCAGAGACATGTGGAAATGTCTACAATTGTTAAAGATATAACTACTGCCACCAAAATCACACTAAGTCATATTAATTTACATTTCCATCTCAGGTAATACTGCATTCCTTTCTTTGAGAAATCTTTCCTACTGTGGTGAACTAACATGGCTTTACATCTCACTCTGAAATTCTGCAATAGTTTAACATTAAAGGTTGCAGTAAATTGTCTGCAGTTTCCTTTCTGCACTAAATTGCACCCACACATGGTTAGCTGCCTCCTTCCACTACAGCCAGGCAGTCCACTGGTAAGATAATTCATCTTTTCTACGTTCCCATGCAGAATCACTCACTGCAATGTCACTTCTGAGCATAAAACAGGTAGCCAGTGACAGGCCATGAAGTGTTATCACCTGCCAAGAGCAAGTAAATGAGCTCCAGCATATGCATATCTTGAGATATCTCAGCCCTGGATGTTTCAGCTGTGGATGTGAAGTGACTGAGTTAAGGGATGCAGCTGCACCCTGAATTCCTGTTTTCACAGCCTCTGTACAATATCACCCTCTCCACCATGCTTTGCGTTAGCACAACATGATAACATATTTTAAAATTTATGTTACTTTATCAAAGAAGCATCACAGTTGTCTCAATATCTTAATTACAAAAAAAAAACCAAATTAAGAAAAGAGTAAGATCGTATCACTTCTGCTGAAGTCCAGTTAATCTGTACACGAAGGAACAAATGAACAAGTTTAATAATGTCCACAAATACACTAAATTTGTAGGCCCTTTTTGTCACACAATGCAGAGAGTCAAGCAAGTTTGCCCATGCTAACATGAGATACGGGGATGGGCAGGGGACAGGCAGCAGAAACTACTTGGTGTGATGGTAACAGAAAACGTGTAGGTACGCAGGATCAGACCACAGCTCTGTGCAGTCAGCAGGATGCCAGCCTCCCTCTTCGGGGGCTTGCAGAGCTGGCGACACTGCTGCAGCACTGGGTGGCAAACTGGCAGGAACTAGCAGAGCACAGAGTGACACAAAAGAAAAAACTGTGGAAAAAGAAATATATTAGAAGAGTCTCTGAGTTAAGTAGACAGTTTTTGTTAAACTGTCAGCTCATGTAATTATATGAATAATTTCTTTTCAAACCACAACATTAACATTTTCCTCTTGTGTTCCTTCTGCAGTTCCTGCGGTTTTATTCCCAGTCACAAGCAAGCGTTTGATTAAAGCATGTACCCAAGCAAGAAATGGCAAAAATCTCACCTATGACAGATACACATCCCAGTGGAGTAACAAGAGTAATGGGGGCAAATCCGTAGGCTGCAAAATTGCCCACCTCTCCAAGCCCCAGGAGGGTAATCCCACACCACCACAGCTTGCTCGTGTAGTAGGGCTTCAGCTCAGTTTGGCAAACCAGTCGAAGATGAGCGCATTTCTAAAAAATTAATTATTAGGAACAGGCATGAATAGAAAGACTTCCATTGTGTTCTTATGTCTGACAAAAGTGGAATAATTAAGGGGGCTGTCAACTTCAAATTCCAGGTGCGTCAAGGTTTCTTTTTAAGCATGGTTTTCAGCTTGTTATTGCACAGCTTTGTGTTAACTCAGTGCTGCTTCAGATGTGTGCTTTCTGAGCCGTGGTGGAAATGGCTGAAAAATTAGGCCTCTGAATAAACCTGAAAAATGCTAAGTGAATACTAGCTAGTGCTTCTGAGCTATCACTGCACGCATCTGTTCTTGTCTCAAAGCCGAAGCCCAGCAGTTGTGCTCTGAATCTGGAAACACTCAAAGGCAGGAAATGGAGCAGAATCAGAACTGCGGCAACAAACTGGAAGAAGGGGAACAGACAACATGGCATTCCTGCCCATGAAACATATCCTCGCCAGAAATAAAATTACAAAATGAAAAAGGCAGCACTTAATCACATCTTCTGTAGGGAGGACTCTAAATTAATTAGACAGAATTTAGGATTTGGCTACAACCTCCTGTTTGACCTTAGAAGAAGATCATAGGTAAAGCATTATTTTCTGAAGGAAAACTAGCTATACCTGTGACAACAGGTATAACATATACTCAAGTAATAGTCCATCAACACTTCCTGTTACATGAAGAAGGTATCATTGATACAGGTTGTAATTGTTTTCTCTCTGGCTGTACAGCAAGAACCTGTATATAACAAGATAATAATTTGCCATTGATCACACTGATCTTCTGAAACAGAGTCCAGGCAGTGTCCATCAGGAAGGTGTCATAATTGGGAATGACGCAATGTTTACGACATTAGTTCTGCAGAATATGGCTTCCTTTCTCAAATTCCTCTCCAGCCTCTCTGCACATGGGTAAAAAAAGTTGGAAATCAAATGCTACATTTATTGCAGTATAAATGGTGATAAAATGATTTTTTTCTCCATTACTTGATATTTGATTTTAGAAGTATCCCTGCAGAGCCCTGGGGAGGTTGTAAACAATTTTCCTCAAACTCCCTTTCTACTTTGTAGGCTACTTTATAGAGTATATGCCAAACAGTAATGTCTGTGACACTCCATAGTCTTAGTCACTCCTCCTATTGAGAGGATGCAGCACATTACTGCAGCTTCATGCTGAGGAACATATTCAGAGGATGAAATCCTAGGAAGTTTAGCCCTCTGAGGAGAAAAAGAGCACAAGGAAATTTAACTTCCTTGAGCCACAGACCTGGATGTTATTCACAGTAACATCCAGGATTTTGAGTGTTCCATATTTGTAAACACAGGGAAAAAAAGCCCAATAAAAATACAAATGAAATTAATATTAAATAATATTCAAATCAAGAATGCAAGTTTCTGCTGAAAAGCAAGTTCTTAACTGAATCCTGAGCTGTGTTTTCTCCCCCAGATTCTTGTAGGATTAAGTCTTGAAGATGCAGTGCAATTGAAAAGATGTGCAACAAACACGGGAAAGTGATCTCAGCAACTCTCTTATAGCCTTCTTTCTCCAGATGTCTGCCTTCTTTGCACAGTAATATGTGTGAATGGTATTTAGGTGGAGACTGTTTATAACCTAGATGAAATACATTGCAAATTATGACCTGTTCTTTAGCTGACAACCTGCTAGAGGGAAGAGAGGAAGGTTAATGGACTGCATAGTGGGAAAGGGGCAGAGAACAAAAAAGTTCAGCGTATCCTTTTAAAATCAGTATATTAGGGAAACTCATTATTCATATTTAGAAGATACTGTTACTAAATGGAGAAAAACATACTTTAAAGGATTAAAAAAATTTCGGTTTAAAATGTCTGTCAAATTGCAATGAGAGCTATTGGGTCTTCTTAAATAGCATTTAAAAAGCTGAAAGATAGTTCAAATCCAGCAAATGCTTTTAATGATTACAAGTGAGTCACAGCTGGTATTTCCTTATAGCACATTACAAGGAGGAACACTAGTTATGAATTCTTATTCTGTTCCTGTATGAGAATCACAGTACAAAACAGGTTGAGAGCTCCCAACAACTACAGCAGGGCACTGTTAAATTACAGTTGAAGAGAGAGACTGTTTATTAAATGCAACAAAATTTGTATTTTGAACTTTATCAAAACCAAACTGCAACAAAAGCTACTTGATAAATATAAACAACTCTGAATAAAGAGAAACAATTTCATACCTGTATATTCAAGGAGACACTAATCAGCAAATTTGAAGCAGCAGCAAGTAAAACTCCCAAGAGCTGAGTCTGCAAGATCACAAAACAAAGAAATACAAAAATACTTACTAGTTTAAGAAGAACAATATAATGGTGGTTTTCTGATAGCACATTGTAACCCAATAAAAAGCAAATTATTGCACTTTTCAGTCACTGAGTTCATGCTGCACTGAGTAAACTGATAAAAAATATCTTTGCGCAGTTGACTATGGCCCAAGTAGTAAACAGGTGGGAAGAGAAAGGGCATCTCAGTGCAGGGGGTGGTTTTGCTGTCCTTCAGTAAAACACCTTAACTCCCATGAAATAAAAAACTAGGCAGGTCTCAGTTGAAAATTACACACAGGTGTTCTTTTTTTCAAAAAAAAGACCTGTTTTGTTACATAATCTGGAAGGAAAATCATCAGCAATCAAACAATTCCTATTGGAACACAACTGTCTTACATGTTAACATATCCGCTATTTGACAGGGCAGCCAGGAACATAGATCTCCTGACAGTTTCTTTAATGTATTTTGTTATTGCATGAAATTATTGCCTAATCAGACTGTCCAATTTTCAGTAAGATTTGCAAACTTTCTATGAAGCTGATAAACTAATAACATTCAAGTAGGGTTTGTTATTTTGGCAAACGGTCACTTAAAGATGCCATTTAAGCAAGACCAAATAACAGGTACATGACAGTCTACTTTCAAAATGTTGAACAAACATTTTCAAAAAACACTTTGCAAGTCATCATAAGTGTATTCAAGACCCGTTCAAGGTTACTGTTATAGTGCTATGAGGAGCCCCGTTATTTCGTAGAGAAGACAAACATACTATCAATTTTTATAAACAAGGTCATGGTAACATAACCCAGCACAACTACTGCTTGCAGGCTGTAAAGCAGCATCCAATTCTGTGTTTGCAGCCTCAGCTTTCATGACTCTTACCCAAGAAGGTCCCTGGGCAGCTGTGAACAGGCAGCGCCCACCAGCCACAGAAACTGTTGCCCCTCAACGTTTATAAAGAGCAACATGTGGTCCAGCAAACACTTGGAGGAGGGATAATTTTTGTGGCTAGATTATTCCCAGACAAAGAAAAGGTATCCCCAAAACTGTGAAGAAACACACCTTTATTACAAATTGACTGTAATATTCTTACTTAAGAGATACAGCAGAATCCAACCATTTCCATCCCCTATGTTTCTGTAGTGACTTAGACTCAGAAGGAGAAGCAGACAACAGAACTGCTCTGAGTGAAATGCTTGGCTGACTGCCAGGTGTCAGCCAAGGTGCAGCCAGGTGTGACTGATGGGTACAAGGGGATGCAGAGTGGAGAATACAGGAGGTGAGAGAGCTCCCTCTGCTAACTATTACAGCATTAGTGCCACAGCCTATGTACAAAAAGCATTACTCAAGAGTTTAGCCCATGCCTGCTGGTCTTTTCCATCTTGTATCCTCTCCCTGGCCGCCCCCCCCTCCTCCAGTGGATGTTCCAGCAGTGTTTCCTGGGCTCTCGAGCCAGTGCATTTTCCATACTCTAGAAATACACCTCACTGGAACCAGCAGGGAGAGTGTGACAAGACATCTCAGCATGTGTCAGCACAGACATCTTTGCTGAGATCAGGCACTAACTAGGACATAAGCTGCCTTGCAGCCTCCTTCCACACTGGGAAAATGGTGTCACATGGACACCACACAGGCGGAGCAGAGGGATGGGTTCTCCTTCCTTTGGCCTTGATGCTGTAGCATCGAATCTTGAACACCGATCTTGCACAAAGTTTAATCACTTCATCCTGCACGCACAGCAGCTTCAAAAAACAGCAGTTAAATTGAAATTGTTTTCTTGCTCCCAAAGTCTTGTTCTTTTTAAATGACAACATGCTCCCTTGTGAGGAGGCGGAGAAGTGGCCTTGTCAGCCTTGTCATTAAGTGTTTAAGAAAAGGGAGACAGCAGGGAATAGAAAACAGAAACTGCCACCTCATTTACCCCATCATTTTATTGCTTTCACATCATTAATTGTAATACATCCCCATTACTCCCAGCAGAGAGCACAGCCTCTCTGCAACTCTTTTTGTTCCAGTGGCTGATCCTATCCTTATGGCTGCATCTCTGGATAACGCCTTGCAGCTCCTTCCTCCCGCTTTTCAGCTGGGGGTCACAAACACTGCATAGGACTCAGGAGGTAGCCAGAAACCCAGCAAGGAAACACAGTTGATCTTGAGACAGCCGAAAAGAGGGTATCTACCCAACTCTGAAGGTAAAATTTGCATGCAGCTGGTGAGCAGAGGACGAGGCTCTGTGCTCTCTCTGCAATCTAAAAACCTGTGTGAAATCAGATCCATGTACAAGTACTGATGATGACCTGAGTATGTGCCTCCAGAGGCTGTGAATCAAATGCCCCTTTGATGGCTTTACACACTGCATGGACTGGGTCTCCAGCAATAAGTCTTCCAACTCCCTGCATCATGAGTGTCCTCCCCAGAACAGCAACTACTTTTGTACCACAGTGGTTGCTTCATCAGGTACCTGTGAGCTTGGCTCACATATCCTTGTGGGACACATAAGATTTCTAACACGATGACCAGCCTATGTCTCAACTGGAACCATCTCATAAAAGTCAGTTATCTTCTTAGAGAAACATAGAATCACAGAATTTTTTGGGTTGGAAGGGACCTTAAATATAATTTAATTCCAACCACCCTGTTATGGGTAGAGACATCTTCCACTGCACCAGGTTGCTCAAAGGCCCATCCAACCTGGCCTTGAACACTTCCAGGGATGGAGCATCCACAATTTCTCTGGGCAAGCTGTTCCAGTGCCTCCCCACCCTCCTTGTAAAAAGCTTGTTCCTTATATCTAGGTTAAATCTACCTTATTTTAGTTTAAAATCATTACCCTGTGACACTCCCTTGTGCCTAACTTTAGCAACCTTCTGCTCTGTACACAAGGAAAAACAGTGCATGTGTACTATCAAGGCAAATGCACAGCGGCAGTCTGGGCTCAAAACCTTCCCTCATGGCTCAGGTCACTTTATTACAATGACCACATGTTTCACCTGAGCCTTGCTGTTGGCATATATACTGCGCTGCCTGCTCCAGGCTGACAGGTGCTAATGAGCTCTGGTTAGTATGGCAATAGAACCATACTTTCAAACTCAGGGCTGGACAGACCCCTAAAGATTAAAAACAGAGTATGATGCCCTAAGGAGGTCAAATATCACATGGATCCAGTCAGGGAGATGAGATGAAAGTACAGTAACACCATGCAGCTACAGCAGGGCAAAACTGTCTTGCACAGTTTCATACTCAGACAGGCCTATATTAAATAAAACAATGGGAACAAAAAATGCAGTAAAGAGGAAAATTACATTACAAACATCACAAATCAGAGTGAATCTTAAATCAGCAGGCAATTTCTATTGCACAAGAGATATCACATACAGCAGTGCTCAAAGAGGAAAAATAGGATGGCATATCTCAGGCTAGTAAAACCATGCATGAATAAAAGATGACCTGCAACAGAAGATAGATCACCATATCAAACTAAAAGTGTTGCTCTATTACTCTGAAGGCCACCATAGCCCTTCTGTTCCCACCTTGTCCTGTGAAAGGTTTCATTATTTGTGCAGTGTCTGCCATTTAACATCCTTCAGAGGCTAAAGGACTGGTGGAACAGAGAGTTTTATAAGTAATAAACATATTCTCTGAGTTTCCAGTTGTGATATCCATTGTGATGCCATCCACAGTACTGCAGAATTTTCCACACATAAGTCTTGAGACAAACTCCAGCTGGGGAATTCAGTTGCAGACACAACTTCAGAGCCATGGTACTACTTCAGTCAGCTAAGGACTTCTACAAGAAAGTCTTAAATATTCAAAACTGTTGCCGTAAAAGGCAAGTTTCTTCATCACTGAAACCTCTGTCTGAGTATACAGGCCACTTTGTCAGATCCCAGATTTCAAACTGTTGACACATTCTTCCAGTGCTTCCAAATACATGAGTCTTGTCACAGTCTTAAGCTTTCCAGAAACTAAAAATCACTATTTTTTTTATTTCCTTCACCTTAGTATGTTTTGGAACAAGCCATGAAAGTCACCTGCCCGCTTTGCAGTCCTTTCTAGATAATCCTTGACCGCGCAGACCATGGATTGAGGTTGCGAATCTGCCAATATTTTCCTTGGTGGCAAAACAGGCTTGAGGAATGCCTGCCTCTGGCCCCCACTCCCTCACTGCCTCATTTAAGCACCTGAAATAATCCTCCCAAAATATACCCCATTAGCATTATGTTCTTTATACGTCACCTGCCAATGTTTAACACTAAGGGCACATTAAAATTCACAAGCCACAGCAAGGCTTTTAAAATAGTGACCTGCATGGTTTGCCAGTGGTGACAACGATCTGTCCAGGGGCTGCTGGGGGAACAAGTTCAAGAAATGGCAAATTCAGCTTGAGTGAGGCACCCTCAGCACTCACCTGGCATCCCGCATCTCAGCTGCACGAAACTCTAGTGCAAGCCCAGGTGGGGAAGGGAGGTTTGAACAGTTGGTCAGTAGAAATCCATTTGCCAAGTGCAGTGGCAGCATATTGCTACTCCAGAGAAGTGAGTGGCAGAGCGGCACATTGCTGCGTATGGTCCTGCTTCGAGCACTCAGGCGGGATCTGATGCTTAATTACCATAGCACCTTTTCACATCCTTCTGACAGTATTTTAAAATGACATCTTACGTGCAAAGTCACTATTTATTGTCGAAGTAAAGTAAGGGGTTTAAGGCAAATGAAAGTCAGCATGAAATCTATATCTTTGGCACTAATTCTAATAAATTTATCCCTTGTAGACTAAAATCTGCATTGGAGATTCAGTTATACAGTGAAATGCAATTTATCTATATTACATGTATGTTTTCCTAAAGCACATCAAACTGCAGTTGCCAGGTCTGTGAAATGAAAACTTGGAAAAATGAACTTAATTTGCATTGAATAAAAGGTATATGCCATTATTTATGAAAACTTGCTATGCCTATAAATTGAACTGATGAGCAGAAAAAAACTG